GGCCTCTACACTAGAGTCCCTCACAACTGTGGTAGCCCAGAGTCACTCTCCTCTCCCTTTCCCAAAGGACAGGTGGCCACTGGCTATTTCAGCCCCATGTTGCGCCACCTTGAGGATGGGATGTCACTGACAATGTTCCTCTTACCCGCTCCAATGTGTCCTAAGCTTGTGTTTTATTTTGTTTGTCTCAAACTGAGTGCTAGAATTTCTTTTTGGGAAGGCTGGATTTCTACGGGTCTCTTTTATCTGTGGGTGTCTGCCCATGTTAGCACTCTCCTGGTTTTCCCCTACTGGGGTGGATCGGTCTGTGGCCAGTTAACAAGCTCCTGTTTATTCCACAGTCCCTACGGAGGTCTGTCTACCTATTATCCACTGCACAGGTAGGCAAGACCCCTCCTGGGGCCCTTTGGTGTATGGTGCTGAATCCCACAACCCACACAGAGGCATGGATGAATGCAGCATTAATTGTTTAAAATGGGAGACAAAAATGAGGGGTGTGTTATGCTGCCATGATGCTGTTGTCACTCTAACACTCCATGTTTCTATATCGGGAACATATAAACAATCACTTGGAAGATAGAGCTTATTTATTACACACTTCCCACGACTAACAGACGTAGTAGAGCCAATGGAAAAACTGTGGATGCTAAAGTCAAGCTGCCCTAAATTTAAATTCCAGCTCTGTAATCTGCTGGCTAAACTACTTTGAGCAAATTGTTTTTATTCTTGTTATGTAAAGAAACTTACAGCTTTAAGAGAAAAAGAGACAGAGACAGAGAGAGACAGACAGATTGCTTTCCTTAAGAGTTTGTTTTTATGGCTTAAAATGAAGAAGGACAAGTTAGATTTTCAGCAGGAGGCTAGAGACATAATGGAAGTTTAATTAATTTTAGCATTATTTTCTTTCTTACTTTTTCATAAGACTTAAAATTCCAGTTCATCTTTGTTTATTTAATTGTTGATTTCCCATACCTTCCCACACTAGAGATCCTCTGTGTTCTAACAGCACCTTCTATTTTCCCATGTGAATCTTCCTGTCTCTATTTGAATATGCGCTCTGGAGGGCAGGATTCATAGCTTATTCACATCTTCTGTTCTGTGTCCTAGCAAAATATCTGGAATCTAACAGGGGATCAGTCTTTATTCTGGTCTATTGCCATATCCATAGACTCCCATTAAATAAAATAATCATTTATTTAAAAATGACAAAAGATGTGGCTGGAGACATTGTTGTCTATTCTAGGATGTTTGTCTCGTGAAAAAGAAAAGTCACTGGAAACTACTATACCATGTAAAAAAAACTCTTCCTAACTTTCTCACATAGAGTAAACTGCCAACTTTCCTCTGAACAGCCAAAATCTATCCCCATGACCAAGGCCTCGCAGAAGCACAGGCCAGAATCTAACCAAAAAATGTTATCTGCACCCCAAAGTTGAGAACAGGAAATGAGTCATTCTACTGGGGCACATTTTGGCCCAGCTAATATTGTTAGAGCCTAGGACTGCCCTGATTATCTCTCTTCTCCTTTTGTTTGTTACAGAGTGAGGCTCTTGCACTCTGTTTTTCTAGCAGTTCATTTCTAATAGGCTGATATTATGTGTTAAAGTATTTCTCATTGCTGAAAAAGAAGAGTTATGTTTTTATAAGTTTCCCAAAGCTCATCTGATACCATTTTTCCTATAGCC